GTTGAATGGAGTATTAGAGACATCTGAAAGACTTGCTGTATTCTGTACACAGTAATTAGAATGATGCAGGCTGACAGAGAATTCAAGATCTTACACTCAATCCTGACTCCTCAGTTTGATTATTCAGCTGAATATTGAGTTTCACTGAAGATAAAATGTGATTGCAATCTTGTGATTCCTGCAACAAATAAGCAGGCTGTCTGTATCTTTGAAACTGTAAGACTGGAAATAGCAAATGAAGTTGCCTTCTCCAAAACATATAGTTCTCTATACACCTCAAGTATCTTGAATCTTGCATGTTTGCTTGAGATTTATATGCTGGTTTCTGCAGTAGTTGAGTTTCAAGTTACAGGAACAGTGAGAGTTGCTATAGAATTTCTTTGGGACAAAGTATATAGGAATTAGAAAGAAAATTGCTGTTTGATTGGAGGATTGAATGTATTATAGCAAAGTTGAATGTTAGAGCAGCTGCAAAATGTGCTAACTGTACTACAGACCAACTGTAATATTCTGATCATCTAGACCTGTAATTAGCTCTAAGAGATGCAAGATCAGCAATGATCTGTATCCTTCTGGGTGATCAGCCTATTTCAAAGAAATCAATCACTTAGTGGTGTTGAATTTTAGAATGTAGAGGAATATGAATACAGATCTGAATAGTAACTTGAGCAGTTAAATGTGCTCCAAGTCAACTATATAATAGATAGTGAACCTCTCTGAAATTCAAGCATTCACTCTTGTTCATTCTCAACAGCAATCCAATAGCCAAAATGTCAGAGACACAGAGTACACCAGTGCTAAAAAGAACAGCTTGCATCTTCTCATGGGCCCAATTGCACAACATGCTAAAGGCTCAAGAGACATTGTTCAGTTTGAATACAAGTATCTGAACTGAAGTGTTCTCTGATCATACAGAGATTGAAAAGTGGGTTTGAGTGATGGAGCATGAGATATGAAATTAGGTGCAATGAGCCTATATATTAATATTAAATACTGATCTGATTCCTGATACCATCTAGAAGATGCTGAGTCTTGAGAACTGAAAAGCTGGAAATGACTTATATTTTTGTGAACTTTCCAGATGCATGTTGGACCTCTGTAAAGATTGAAAATGTAAGATCTTGAGTAGCTTGAAGATTGAAATAATGTCTCTAAACTTCTAGTTATGATATAAACTGACCTCATTTGCAGAATCATGTCAGAGAATGTATTGAACTCAGCTTGACTGAGAATTCTGATTTTGAACTTCATGAAATAACTGATTGACAAAAGCTGATCAGTTATTTTGTCTGATTGTTCAAGTGGGACCAATTCTGTAAAGTCTTTTACTGGGTCAAGCTGTGTGTTGATTTTGAGAAGTCAGCTCCACAAGAAAAATGGTATTTTGAATGTAAGTCAATAGTAAATCTTAATTGCCATGATTTCTGCTCTGACAGTTATGGCAATAGAGGTGTATGCAAATTTAGCAGCATATGTGAAGCTGTATCTTGATAACAACAGTTTAAAATAGAATGCATTCACTTTGTTAATCTACACCTGGAATTCTGTACTCAAGCTCTGAAACTGCTTGACACAGAAACCAGGACTGAGAGATGTTAATTCAGATGACTTTGCCCAACAGAAGATCTAATCAAGAAAGTTAAAGACTGTTCATGTTGAGACTTTGCCAGAAATTCTGGATGCAGTCCAGTTAACATCTAGTATGCTGTTCAGGAAACCTGATTCATGTCTGGCTCAGGCAGTGCAAGCTCCACAGGAGCCAGAGAATGATAATTCAGACAAGAAGAATTGAAATTCTTTGCAGAACATTATGAAGAATTATTTTGAAACTGTAACAAATTGGCCTGCCTGTTTAAAGAGATCTGTGCCAGCCACAACTGATCACATGCCCTGAAAGAGACACAGATTCTAGTTGAATACATGAAAAGATGCCTTCTTGAGTCAAAATTAGCTGTTAGTTTGTGCTTCAAAATAGATTTTGAGGTTTGATATCTAGACTTTAATGCAATGCTCTGTTATATCAATGCTTGCAAGAGCTGAATTTCACTATATTTAATATATATCTCTTTATTGTTCACTGTAATTGGCTGTAGAAGCTCTAAGCAAAATGAGTTAGCACTTAGTAATGTATAAATAGATATGTTCTGATTAGGAAATCCAAAACAATCAAGCAGACATGCTAGATATAATAATCTCTTTCCACATAAAATCTCTTTTTTCTTCTCTTCTTTTCTTTCTTTCCTTCTCTTGAGCTTATTATATTTCTTGTTGCCTCTCTCCTCCTATTTCAATATTGAGATAAGTGGTAGATTTCAGAATAAAATAAGGAACTGCAGCAAACTGAAGAATAATATATGCAGAAATAGCAAAAAATGGCTTTACAAACACATAAATTGGCAGCAGCTCAGGACAAGCACTCTCTGATGTTCATAAAGAAGAAGCCAGAGTAAAAGCTCTCAGCTGTCAAAAAAGAGCCTGTTATAATGGACAATACACTCTGTAGCTGCTGTTTAATATTTGTGTATATAATGCATATTAAAAAGTCTTGTTCCTGCAAGCAAGAAACTGTAAAGGCCTGCATTAATTGTGCAGAAGATAAAAAAGCCTGTGCTTCTGTCTCTTCAGAGCTGTAGAAGAAAGTGACAGCATTGCTGTCTAATTATAATAATTTTCTCAGACTTAAGAACATGACACTCTGAGAGAAATTGAAAGCCAGTATGGCAGAACAGGCTGCTGGTCTCAGTGAATTGCTTGCCAAAATGACATCTCTATTAGTCTGAACTGATGAATCCCCCCCTCTTTCTCTCTTCAATGCTGAAGTTGGTGCTGCCACTTTGGCAGTATTGGAAAAGCTTGTGTTCATTTAAGTTAAACAAAAAGAGCTTGTGAAGCATACATTCTGCTCTGTCAAGATAGGTTGAACTGATTGGATATCATACATTCAACTCATGCTAATGTAGTTATATATATAGAATATTGAAAGAATCTTGGCTGACATCCACCAGAACTTAAAGTTCAATTGTTTATCTTCTGTAATCAGTATACTTGATGCAATGTTGGGATGAATTAAACTGACTTTGATATTTGATAACAGAAAAAGTAAAAGACAGAAGAAACTGTCTGCAAATTAGTAACTAAGATAGACTGATTTGCTGCTGTCCTGCCCTCTGTTGCATTCACTTCTTCTCTTCTCTTCTCCACTCTGATTACACCTTCTTCCTTCATTTAGTTACAGCCAAATATATCTGTGTTGGGCCTGTCTCCAACTGGAGACAGTGGAGCTGATTTGCTCAAAAGTATGATCAGACAGTCTGAATAGGCTTGCTCTGATAATTCTTCTGTACTGGTCTTACACTCTGTCCTTGAACCAGAGACTCCAACCAGTAAGAAGGCTCCCAAAATTTAAAAAAAAAAAAAAACTTCATTATAATTTGGGTTGTGCAGGTGGTTGTGTAATACTTAGTTAGTTTCTAGTAATTGAAAAGCTTCCAAATCAGGTTCAAAACCCTCAATTGGTGCATTATATATTCTGAATTCTATACATTTCAGACCCTTTATACATGCATTGTAAATATATGGTTGATCTAGGGTGGTATCCAGTTCTGGGATTTTCTGTCCTGGTTCCAGATTCCTGTCCCAATTCCTGTCCTGAGGACAGGATCAGGTTGAAGCTCAGCTTAATGGGATGGGACCAGGTTGTTTAACAGCATATTGGGACAGTTCTGTGGGAACTGGGATTGGGATGGGATTGGGACTGGGATCAAAATCTAGCTAGTAGAACAGGCCCGGGACCTGACATGACAAAATAGGATAGGACTGGGATTTCAATATTGTATATGGGATGGGACCAGTAAAGTGTAGGATGGGACCAGGAACCCTGGTCCCATTTGTGTTGTCAAAAAGTAACAAAATTTGGTAACAGTCCTAATATAATTTTATCAATTTATTCAACTTCAGAAAAGTACCAAAATTTGGTAATGCTCTTTGCATAATTGGATCATATTGCCAAATGATAGCCAGGCTTGAGGCCATGACCTTGGCCTCAAGCCTGGCTATCATTTGGCAGAATTGGGCCTCCCTACATGCAGTAATAGGATGCTGTGCCTGGCTTGTTTTGGCCTAAATATGTCAGGACTGTTATCAAATTTCATTACTTTTGAATTCTATCTTCTTTTTCTGCTGAGCTTCATTCTCAGTCTCTGTGACCTCTTCTCAGCAACACTTCTTCTCTTTCTCCCTCTTCTTTTGCTGAGAGACCATGAGCTGGTGCTTATGGTACTTCTTTGACTTGCTCTTGGCAAATCACTTGGCCATCAACTCTTCAATGGCTTTATCTTTAATCATCTTGCAATCCTTCTCACTGCTATTCTGTCTGTAATGGATGTCAATATGATTCAACACAAACTACTGAGGGTGCATACCACTCATGTTTTGCTTGAATTCTCTTCAGCACATCATGGCATGCCTTGCAATCCATCTCTCCTGCCTTGAATATGTCTTTTTGATGGCCTTTCAAGATCTGGCAGTGCTCCCATGCCATACAGATCTTCTCTCTTATTGAATATTGTTTTGGCCCCATCTTCACAATTGTATGTGATGAGTTGAATTGCTGGCTACAGAATAATGAGATTATAGAGTATATTAACCAAGTACTTGCATAGGATGGTTACTATATACATTGTTTACATTCTACAGGCATGTTGCTATAGGCAAGCTCAACATGTTGTTGCTATGCTGGCTACAGGATAATGGGATTATAGAGTGTATTGACCAAGTACTGTAGAATGGTTACTATACACATTGTTTACATTCTACAGGCATGTTGCTATAGGCAAGATCAATACATTGTTGCTATACTGGCTACAGAATAATAACATCAGATCAGTCTCTCTTCTCTTCTCTTTCTCTTTCTCTTCTTCTTCTTTCTCTTCAGGACTAATATTGACAATTCCCTCTCTCTCCCTCTCCTTCTCCACTATCTTTTTATTTACTGCACTTCAATGTCCACACATACAACAAACATATACTGCAACAAAATAGATTATATTAAGAGGTGAGTGCTTGCAGAATACTGCTCTGATACACATTATTTACTGACAAGATGTTAGTTTTCCCTGTGCACATCCATTTCATATAGCTGAAGAGGAGCAGCACAAGGCTGCATTGAAAGAATGGGCTCTGAAGAAGAGCAATTGGCATAAAGTTAATAAAGATGTTGATCTGACCAACTTTGATCAGAAGAATTCCTGCCCCCACCCCTCTGTTCAAAATTGGAAGGCTAGCACTTGTATGTCAAAAAGTAATGATTTTTGGTAACAGTCTTGATGCTAATTGATGAAAATAGGTACCATCAAGGAAATCTGCCACTTTCAGAGCTCTATCAAGCTAATCTTGCTGGTGGCCCTGTTCCAGCAATTGGTTCAGGAAATTACTTTGTCCTGTCACCAAGAACATGAATATTACTGGCAACATACTGCCATTGAGTCACTTCAGAAGGCAGCTGAAGTAATCTTGTGTGCTCTGTTTGAGTGTAAGTCACTCTTAGCAATGGCACCAACAATTATACTGAGTAATATAGGCTTTGTTATAGCAATGGTGCACCATAAGTGTGTTACAGTCAACACCAACAATATGAAGCTCATTCTTGGCATTGGTGCCAAAATCAGGTTGAACTATTTCAGCCCAATTGATGCGCCTGATCACCCTGCCCCTGCCACCACCACCCACAACCTGTGTGCTGCCCCCGCCCCGCCAACTACTGCTGCTGCCACTCCACCACCACCACCACTGCCCACCACCACCTCTCTGCCTCCCCCCAGCACCATCAGGGTCTCCGCCTGTCAAATGGCGGGTATTAGAGCCCCTGTCCGGTTCACAAAGCCAGTTCTGGAGGAGCAGGAGGAGGAGGAGGAGAAGAAGAAGGAGGAGGGGGAGAAGGAGGACAATGATAATAATGAAGATGATGACAATAATGATTAACTTGCCATTTAGGCAGTTCCTGTTTGTTTGCTGGCTTCAGCCATTAGTTAGTTTTAATACTTTGTTTCTTTTGACAATCAAATTGATTTTTCTATGGGTTCCATCTTCATCAAAAAAGTAACAAAATTTGGTAACAGTCCACACAAAATTTGATCAGTTTGACTCTTCCCTATGAATTTGACACAATGGGACCAGAAATTCTGGTCCCATTCTGGTCCCACTATGGACCCGGCCAGAATAAGAAATGGGAGTCTACCATCTCTGCTGGAATAGGATGTGGGACATAATTTTCTATTTGAGGATGGGACTGGGAAATAATTTCTGGAATAGGGATGGGAACAGAACCTCAAGCTCTTGAGTGGGATGGGACATGAGACTGAGATTTCATATTTGGGATCCTGGCTGTTTCTAAATTTGGGACAGGGACCAGGTTCAATGGGAAATGGAATCCCATTCTGGTCCTGAATACCAGTCTAGGTTGATCTACAGTTTCAAGCTTGCAACCCATGGTTCAATGGGTTGCATCAGATAAACATTTTCTGACAGTTGCCTGAAAAGCTCATTTTTCCAGTATGGTAGCTGGTAGTCAGCAGTAGGCATTGATTAAGATATAAAAGAGAATGATAGCATATGAATTATTAGCTTTATTGACATTCTCATCATCATCTTGTTGCTTATTGTGTTCCAATCACACAAGATCTTGCATGAGAATCAGACATTTGTGATGAAGTTGCTTCATCTGGCTGCTGATATAGAGTTTCAATTTCATAAGAGCCTCATCAAGAATCAAGAATATAGTGCATTTGAAGCTCTCATAAATCAGTAAAATCTTTTCAACATCATGCTTGTTAGTTTGCTGCACAAATACTTTATATTCATGATATTTATTCTTCTTGATCAGTACATTACAGTTATTTGGTACAGCATACTTCTTTGCCTGGTCAGTATAATGCACTCTGATATGTATGTTTGATTAGTGTTTCAAAGCATGTAACATCTTATCTGCTTTCAGAGCAATACTGACAGTATTAATTAAAATGTTCTCTATCAGAGATGTCACAATTCAATTAAATACTGATGAATTCTGCCATGATCTCAGCATCTATACTGTTCAGCTAGCTGACCATAATGCTTCAGCAGTTATGACAGTAGCATCTATCACTTTCTGAAGTATAGTTCAGGCATTAGCAACCACACTTTTAAGTTCATTATACCTGACAGATATCTGAAAAGTTAATAGTGAATTGCTTCTTGCAATAATATTAAAGATTTTAGCAAGCAATAAATACAGAATGTCAGAATTAATTAACTGTTCACTAAAGAAGTTATAGAGAGTCTGCTGAACAACAGTCTGAATTCAGTCAGGCTTTAGAGTAAAGCAGAGTATAATTGAAATTATAATTAAAGCTCAGACATATTTCTGAATTTGATAGAACTCCAGATAGATAATTGGGAACTGCAGTCAGATTCAGCATCTTCAAAATGGAAATCTCTATAAAGTTTGGCAGTATTTCTTCTGTCTCTTAGATGTTAATATATGTAATATCAATAATATATGTGCAATTTTGAACAGGCCCAAAAATTCACTATAACAGAGATCAGAGAGAAAAAATGTCACTAGATTTAGTATCAGACAGATCTTCAAAACTGAAGAACTTTTCTTGATTAATTCATAAGTCTTCTACAGTGCTTCTCACTTGTGAACAGTTTACTTTATCTCAATTTCAGCCTGCAAATTAAGTAGCTGGTAATGATATTAGCTGTGTTTTATCAAGTCAAAATTCATATTGAACCTCTTTACATCAGAGACAGTACAGCTTCAACAGAAGACTGTTACAGTAGAGTATTTGATTCCAGTATTATTATTTTGCTGCAGTATGTCATCAAGATAAGTAATACAAGAAGTAATGATTCTGACAGTTTCTTCACCAGTTACTATAATGTCAAATTCTCTTTCAACTGCTTGTAAACCAGAAGCCAATATTTCTACAACATCAGAAAAATTTGTAGCATAAGATCTGAGAGTAATTATATATACATTATTTCATCATCTTCTTTTAGAATCATTAAGTCCTGCAGAAATCATATAGAAGCCAGTTATATTTTAGTACATGTTCTAATATAAACTGAATTCATTAATAAACAGCAGGAAGAGAATGGATATAGTTTTCTTGATAGTATTGTCTGGACAGAGCATCTTGATCAGCATATCTCTCTTGTATGCCACAATTTTCAGTTCACTCTGGAGCAGAGTGCTAAGTTGAAGCTCTTGTACAGATGATATGTAGCAAATTGTATTTATTACTTGCTGTACAAAGAATCTATTTGTTTCTGAGAGTTTGTAGCTATTCAATCTATTAAAGATGTAGTTAAGATGGACATCCAGTTGAGCTAGAATATTGTCTTCATGTATAATGTGAGTTTTCTGATCTTTCAGTAAGAGCAGCTCATTCAGGCAAAGCAGAGATCTCAGTAAATGAATTCTTTTATTAAAGCTGTTGACAGTAATAGTGTACTGGACAATAAGAATAATTTCATCAGATTTTGTACAGGCCAGTCTCCAGTTCTAACTCACAAATTAAATTCTTCCAATATAAATTTCTTGTTTATTTCAAGTGCACTTACATGCAGCATTATTGCACCTGAAACAAACAAAATTGAAAGAAAAGACTGGTGTCTCATCAGAATATCATGCAAAGTCATCTGATGAACATCTAATAGAGCTTCCCCAGCTTTATGATTGCCACAATTTGGTTGGGTTGTCAACTAGATCAGCCATACTAATATGTATCTTCTTGCAAAATACAGGAGACCTTGCCAGTAATGACAAAAGAGCCACAGAATTCTGAAAAAATAAATTAAATGTGAGAGATATCTGTATTAGTCACTTCTCAGCAGGTGAAAAAGTTAGTATTTTCAATGGAACAGCCAGTATGAATACCTGTCAGATGAGAAGTATAGAAAATTGAGCTCTGCATTTCTTCTTCAACATGCTCAGCCTTAATAGTAGAGATCTCAGTACATTAATGTCTTCAGGAATCTGTAAGACTTTCTGCAGTGTCTTGTAGTATTGGCAAGATATTCCTGATTTTTCACACCATAATTCTAAAGCAAGTATGAAGTAATCTAGCATTTTATCAGGCTCTGCACATACATGAACTAGAATCTCCAACAGATTATTCATTATAGTCAGAATGTAGGTCTTAACTGGCTGGTCACCCAATAAATTCTCTAGTTGTAAATGAAAATCAGAATCTCCATTATCAACCAGGTGCACTGGATGTAATATAGTCTGTAACCAGAGTTTGAATTTGGGCTCTTCATATTATTATGATTCATTATTATTAACTGATCTCATGAGTAGAGCTGCTACTGCTTCTTATATAATCTTCTGCACTCTGATATCTTCTAGTTCAGAATGAGTATCAGATAGAGCATCAGACAGAATATCAGAGACATCTGAAAGACTTACTGCATTCTGTATACAGTAATTAGAATAATGCAGGCTGACAGAGAATTCAAGATCTTATACTTAATTCTGACTTTTCAGTTTGATTGTTTGACTAAATGTCAGGTTCCACTAAAGATAAAATGTAATTGCAATCTTGCAATTTCCACAACAAATAGACAGACTGTCTGTATCTTTGAAACTGTAAGACTGGAAATAGCAAATAAAGTCATCTTCTCTAAAATATATAGTTCTTTATGCATCTCAAGTATCTCAGATCTCACATGTTTGCTTGAGATTTATATGCCAGTTTCTGCAGTAGTTAAGTTTCAAGTTACAGAAACAGTGAGAATTGCTGTGGAATTTCTTTGAGATAAAGTATGTAGAAATTAGAAAGAAAATTACTGTTTGATTGGGGATTCAGATGTATTATAGCAAAGTTAAATGTTAGAGCAGCTGCAAAATGTGCCAACTGTGCTGCAGATTAACTATAATATTTCAATCATCTAGACCTGTAATTAACTCTAAGAGATACAAGGTCAGCAATGATCTGCATTCTTCTGGATGATCAGCCTATTTCAAAGAAATCAATCACTTAGCAGCATTGAATTTTAGAATGTAGAGAAATATAGATACAGATCTGAATAGTAACTTGAGCAGTCAAATATACTTCAAGTTAACTATATAATAGATAGCAAACTTCTCCAAAATTCAAGCATTTACTCTCATTCATTCTCAACAGCAATCTGATAGCCAAAATGTCAGAGATACAGAGCACACCAGCATCAAAAAGAACAGCTTACACCTTCTCATAAATCTAATTGCACAACATGTTAAAGACTCAAAAAGTATCATTTAGTTCAAATACAAGTATCTGAACTGAAGTGTTCTCTAATCATACAAAGATTGAAAAGCAGGTTCAAGTAATGGAGCACAAGATACAAAATCAGATGCAATAAGCCTATATATCAACATTAAATACTGATCTGATCCCCAATATCATTCAGAAGATGCTGAGTCTTGAGAACTGAAAAGCCAGAAACAACTCATATTTTTGTGAACTTTTCAGATGCATGTCAGATCTCTGTAAAGATTGAAAATGTAAGATCTTGAGTAGCTTGAAGATCAGAATAATGTTTCTAAACTTCTAGTTATAGTATAAACTGACCTTATTTGTAGAATTATATCAGAGAATGTATTGAACTCAGCTTGACTGAAAATTCTGATTTTGAACTTTATGAAATAACCAATCAATAAAAGCTGATCAGCTATTTTGTCTGATTGTTCAAGTAGGATCAATTCTGTAAAGTCTTTTACTGGATCAAGCCATGTATCAATTTTGAGAAGTCAGCTTCACAAGAAAAATGATATTTTGAATATAAGTTAATAATAAATCTTAATTGCCATGATTTCTGCTCTGACAGTTATGACAATAGAGGTGTATGCAAATTTAGCAGTATACATGAAGCTGTATCTTGATGATAACAGTCTGAAACAGAATACATTCATTCTGTTGACCTACATCTAGAATTCTGTACTCAAGCTCTGGAACTGCTTGACACAGAAACCAGAACTGAGAGATATTAATTTAAATGACTTTACCTGACAGAAGATCTAATCAAGAAAGCTAAAGACTGTTTATGTTGAGACTTTATCAGAAATTCTGGATGCAGTTCAGTTGATATCTAGTATTGAAGTGGAGTATGATGGGATGCCTTGTCAAAGTAGGTGAGTTGATTGAGATGGTGAGAGCACAAGAAGAATGAAAAATCACAATATAGTAAGAATGGTAATGGCTGAGTAGTAAGAACAGAGAAGCATGCCTTAATAGATGCCTAAGCTCATAAGAAATAATAGTACTAAAGAGTCTGTACTAATACAGGCAGCTCTAATAAGAAACAGTAGCAAGCTTTATGAACAAGAGATCTTCATATTCTCTAACTAATAACCAAACTAGCAATAAAGAATGAGTGTGTAGAAAAGTACAAAGGTGCATGAAGGTATTAAGTGAGATGCAGGAGCTATAGATGATTTATATAGCTCAGAGATAGTAGCTGGAGGGATTTTGTGTCTTGGACTGGAACAATCTTTGTTCTAATATAGTACCAGAATCCCCACTACATTTTCTTCTGGCTTTTAATGTTAGTGTCCCCTGACAACAGACAACATATGAAACAAAATAAAGGCAATTTAGTAAAGAAAATAAGAGGCTAAGAATTAGTAACAATCTGGTAAGAAAAGAGATAGAAAATAAGAATAAAGAGAGTGACAGCAGCAATCTCTAATAGTGATCATCATGATTCTCTTCTTCCACCAAGTTCTCAGAAGAAGGAGAAGACTGAACTGATGCTGGATCAATATTATTGTGCACACAATGTCAATAGAATTTGTTACCAAAAGCTTTCTTTTTAATTTGGTATGTCTTGACAATAGCATCCAAAGCAATTCATATAATCTTTAGATGCCAGTTATTAATGAAGTTCTGAGTCTTCTTCTCTTCTGGTTCAAAGAGGGTATCAAGCTCCTCAATTACTATAGAGTTGTTCCATCTAATTTGGCCTATCAAGACATCTGATATAGCTCCTAAGCCTTGCAATTGAATAGCAGTAGAGAATCAATATGGAACTGATGTGTAATGGTTTAAATGGCCAGAAGATAATGATGGCTCTGGAACTAGATTTCTATATGCAGTGGAGAGCTGTAACCAGGTACCAGCTTTATTGACTTTAAGATGTTCATGGTTCTTCTGAATTGCCACATACCAGGGTAGCATAGTATGCCAGACCTTTTTGCATGAACTGTGAGCTCCATGGGGCAGTAGAAGACTTGTAATTTGGATATTGCCAGGTTTACAAATGATGTTGGTCCATCTAATACTAAATTTTCTTTTGTTGTCTTTAATATACATTGTATTCTTAATGTGGTGAATATAGCTATTGGTGGATAAGCCTTGTTCTTTAACTAGTTCCCATCAATTCTCTAGATGATTATGCATTTCTGGCAAGATTTCTGTGCAGTTGCTGGGCTCTTCTGCTATTAAGATCAAGAATTCTTGTATTATGTTAATATCCCTTCCAGTAGTAATAGCATCTGGAATGTTGACATTGATATAGTGAAATCCAGTTTTATTCTCTGGCTTAGCATACTTGGTGTAATATGAATAGAAGATTAATTTCCAAGCATGGTTAGGTCTTGTCAGCACATACTATAGGTAGTATGCAGGGTTCTGGTGCATGACTTGTTGGCTGATACTATAATACATTGTTCTCAATCATCTGTAATTATTGTGATCTCCCATTATTTGCTGATGATGGTAGTACATATTGTATTCACCATTGACCTGAGTGAGTACTGTAGTGGTAGTATCTTGTAACTTATTGTTCCACCAGTGCATTAGCTGGAGAATAATAACAGACCCAGTGGTCTTCCATTTCTTCTGAAGATTGCTGATGATGAACTTGTTAACTCCAGTGATCTGTATATATTAGTTAAAGTTGAATATTCTCATGTTTGTGACCAGAGAGATAATTAGCTGATGTTTGAATTTGTAAATGTCTAAAGCATCTTCAGCTCTAGCTGGTCTATTTGTCAAATGGAACCAGAGGTAGATACTGTCATTGGTCTTGACTAAGCCAATATTATGATAATTTCTATAGATGTGAGCCAAACAGTTGAGAAGCTTCTCTCTATTAAGTGTGTGAGTCTGCAACCTGAGTTTTGAAGCCATTGTAAGGATTCGCCGCGAACCCCTTACACGGACAAACAGCACCCGTGAAGGCCAGAGGCCTCAGCTCGCGAGCTGCTGGGAGTTGCATGTGTTCTCGCGAGGCACTAAGTCACGTGCTCGCGAGCACACATAAAAGGCTGTCACTGTGTGAACCCCTTGCTGGGAGCCAGTGGCAATCTTGTTTACAAGTCGTACATAGTTGCCAGAATACAGACCTTTTACCTCGCGTACTCTTTTCCATGTATATTCCTCCTAGAGATTCATTGTCACGCTGATCCACACGTACGATCCTCACAGCCATTAGTTTTGCATAGTTATAGTATAGGTAGATATCAGCTTTCTTATTGCTAAATGCCTTTTCTAATTGCTCCAGAATGTGAATAAGCTCCAATTCTGAATATATTTTAATACTCTTTATCTTTTGCAGGAGTTGCTGTTCAAATCCATGGCAACAGCAAGTACCAGAGCATACTGTTATGACAGATTCTTTATGCTTATGTCAAGATATCTCTTCATCACTTTCAGAAGAAATAACAGACTCATTATTATTATCTAAGTCTTGGAGAGTTTGGTGTGCTGACATGGCTGTAATTCTTTCACTGTGGTGCTTCAGAGCTTCTGATTGACTGAGTGGATTAGCCAGCACACTGGTGAATTCAAATAGTGGCTGTGATTGGCCAGTTTCAAATTCATGTGATCTAATCAATATTGTGCTATATATAGAGGCTTCTGACACATTGCAGCTATGTGGCATAGACATTTCACTTATTGAAATGTCTCTTAATGATCTTGGAGACTGCAGTTCTTCCAGTAAACCTCAGAAGCTGCTTGCAGTGGAAGAACTTCTAGCAATATTCTGAATTGAACATTAGAAGCTAGATGACTGTGGAAGAGCCAACAGCTGTAGAAGACTGTAGTTGTCAATGGTAAGGCTCTGTTAGTGTAGAGCATCTCTTAAAGAAAGTTCACATATACAGTTAACTTCTTTGTTGGCTGTAGTATAATTGCCTGGCAATATAGCTAAGCTTTGGTGATATCCAGCCCCTGTAGCATCTAGTCTTTGAAGTACTGCACTGTTAATATTATTGGTGAACTTATTCTAATTCTTGTAGACATTTAGAGTATGGCAAAGCTTTTGTGCTGCCCACAGGCTCTGTAAGGATTCGCCCGCGAACCCCTTACACGGACAAACAACACCTGCGAGGGCCCAGGGCCTGGGCTCGCGAGCTGTTGGGAGTACATGTGTCCTCGCGAGGCACTAAGTCACGTGCTCGCGAGCACACATAAAAGGCCGCCACTGCGCGAACCCCTTGCTGGAAGCCAGTGGCAATCTTGTCTACAAGTTGTACATAGCTGCTAATACCAGACCTTTTACCTCGCGTACTCTTTTCTACGTACAATTCCTCCTATAGATTCATTGTCACGCTGATCCACACGTACGATCCTCACAGGCTCTTCACTTTTGATCATATGGCATCAATCCTGTTAATACTTCATGTAGTGACAAGTCTATTCTTGATCTTTTGCATATTAATGTGATGTTATTTGACATCCAGGGTAATCTTTCAAGCATCATGAAAATTGGCTTTGAAATTAGTGTATGTAATGTGTTGTCAAGCTCTGGATCTTTCAACATATTGATAGAAATGAGCCACTAAGTCAGTAATCATATCAGTCACTTGCATCAGTGTGTTCATTAGCTTGATCTGTAGGCTGTAGGGATGGTGCAGAGCTTGGTTATTGATGTATTCCATAGCTGCTGTTAGGTTATTAAAGAAATGGCCATTCAGATTGACTCCACTGTCTCTGGTAATGACCAGGTCTTGGTTTTTGGGTGCAGGGGCTAGAGGAGGCAAGTTGCTTTGTTCAGCTATTTTGAAGAATATTGGTGATCCAAAAAGAATTACAAATGTCAGAATAACAAAATAGAAGGCAAGAAGAAGTGTTGAAAATGTTGAATCTGTAAAAAGAATCAAGCTTGAATATAAAAGACAGTAGAAGCTTCAGAAAAGAAAAATCAGTCTTTAAATATCTTCTGAAAAATTCAGAAAAAGTGAAGGCTTCTGCAAATAATAAAGAAAGAGAAACTTTTTAAATAAGCAAGCAAAAACTTTACTTTGCAGACAAATAAAAGAAACTTCCCAAAAGAGCAAGCAAAAACTTCACTTTTGCAAACAAAACACAACAAATTACACATCTTGTGAAGATATAACAACAGCAAAGCTCCAGTCATCTGATATAATAGTTGATAATCATGTTTGCTCCATTTCTTCTTGGTCATTTTTATTTTTGCTCTCACTCTGATCTTGATCATTTCTTCTATTCAAGAAGCTAACATCTGAGAAACTACTAGAGAGAATATTAGACTGGCTTCTTGTAGTATATTTTTGAGAAATATTCTCCATCTCTTCATCTGAATCTGCTGGACTATTACTGAGCTGCTCCATTCCAGATCTTATAAGATACTTCTTTAATCTGCTTCCTGCAATAGATTCTTTAATTTCAGTGCCATCTAACTCTTCAAGATGATAGAAACCTAGTTCTTGATTGATGAACTTAACTCTATAGAGTTCTAGCTATCAAAAGTACAGAGTGTTGTTTCTAGACATATTCTGTTCTTTTTTGGTATTGTGAAGCAAGACAAGGTCTCCAGATTGAAGAGAGTTGATCTGAATATTATGAGTATCATTAAAGTATTTCTTATTCTTAGTGTGTATTTGGAGCTGATGATGTGCTGCTTTCAGAACATTCTTATCTTGTTGTTTAATTTGGTGTACATGCATCAGAAGAAGATCTTCAGTCATTCAGACATTTTATCATGAAATTGTTTGCCAAGTGAGAATCTTGAGTTCAACTGGAAGAACTGCCTTCTGGCCTATTAGCAATCTATAAGGGGAGATACTAGTACTAGCCTTAGTTGTCATTTGATCTGCTATCAGAATTGCAGGAAGATATTTAATTTAATCTCTTCCAGTACCATTGGTGGCTTTAGCTAATCCATCAGCTAAAGACTTATGACCAACTTCCACTATATCATTTGCAGAAGAATTATAGAGTAAAATAATAATATGTTTGATATTAAATTTCTTCAGTAAGATCTCCACAACATTCTTATTCTCTGGTCCTCCATCTATAACAAATTTGACAGGCAGACCCCATTGACAGATGATATTCTCATAAAGAAATTTGGCCACAGCTTCAGCTGTTGTCTTCTTCAATGCTCTAGCTTTCACTCATTCAGTGAAGTTACATCTTGCAACAACCAAATAATTTTGTTCTTGACAGAAAGCCATGTGTTTGATATCTACTTCAACTTTCTTTCAACAGATAAAAGTTTAGATAGAATGAAGCTCTTCACTTAATCTTTGTGAATCTCTTTGTTGATATTGAGAACAGTGCTTCATATAAGCAGACATGTCTTTATACATTTCTGATCATCAGTATTAAGCTTGTAAGGTAGAGTATGTTCTCTCTTGCTCTTTATGGCCAAATTTGTTGTACATTATGTGTAAAATTTGTTCATATTATTCTTTGTTGTCCACAATACATCTTAGAGGCACATCAGATTCCACTCATCTAAATAGTTAATTGATCTCCACCACATATTTAATTGCTTTCTTTTGGAATCTTATGTACTTCTTTTCTTCCATGCCCAATGGTTTTGATAAGGTGGTTAGATATTATGCAATTTTCTCTGATTCTTCTGAATATGTGGAGTCCAGTATTCTAAGATCTTCACTATTAAGAGCTCAGCCAGCTAAAACTCTTATAGAATCCATAAAGATAAACAGATTTTTGTCTTCTTCAGATTCAGATTGTTCTCCAGTATCTAGCTCTTGGCAAGACAGTCTGTCAGCAGCTGTATGTTTTGTCCCAGGAACATGTTTAACAGTAAAGTTAAAGAGGTGTATTCAAGCTATTCAATTAGTAATTAAAGCTTCTGGAACATCTGTAGCAGTTCTATTCAGTTAGGTAACAAGAGTTTTTGCATCAATTTCCAAGGTAAAGGGTACTCTATAGATATAGTGTCAGAATTTCTTAAAGACTTTTAAAACAGCTCTGCATTCTTGTTTGCCAGCATTATATGTTTTCTCTGAATTATTTCATACTCTGAATTTGTATTATGCAGAATGTTGAGTCTCTTATTGCTTCTGAATAATACATTCTCCTCATTCTAATTTACTGGTATCAACAGCCACAGTGATAAGCAAAGAATCTTGTTCATAATTGATTGAAAGAATGATAGGAAATGAACATAACTTTTCCTTCAAAAGCATAAAGATGTCATTTTGCTCTTCAGTCCATGACCATATAATGTTTCATTAAAGCAGATAATATAAAGGTTTAGTTATTCAACTGTAATGCTCTATAAGTATTTGAAAATATCCAGCAAGCTCTAAAAATTCTTGTAATTCTGTAATGCTTATAGAAGTAGGCCAATTTGCAATTTTAGCTATCTTAGTTTCCTCAGGTTTTTGTCTGTTATAGTTGCAGATTCATCCAATAATATTGACTTCAGACATGCAGAATTGAGATTTGGCACTGGAGATTCTAGCTTCAGAGATTTTGACAAGCTATAGAACATAGTTCAGGTTCTGCAGATGATTATAAACAAATCTTCTTATTTCTGAGAGGACTTCAGTTTCATCTTTAATACATGATCTCTTTACTTCAAGATCATTCATAAAGGCTCAAGCAATCTCTGGAAAAACTTCTTGTATAATCTTCATTATCCTGTGTTGAGCTTGAGCTGGTGAATTTGTTGCCCCTTGAACTAAAGTTGTATGGCAAAAGAGCTCAATAGGGGTTGCAATAGCTGTTATATTCCTGCTCTCTTCAGCTAATGGAAAATTATTATATTCAGAGAACAAGTCACATAGGCTAGTCATAACAAGTCTGCCAAAGTCTTCAGCATATTTGTCAACATTAGAAAAAATAAAAGCATCTCAAATAGTAACTTTGTTGTACATATGTGCTGCATTGACTAAATAATATTTGCC